GCCCTGTGCTTGCCAGGCAAGCGCTTATTCTACTGAGCCATCTCGCTGGCCCCTGTTTATTCTTGGTGTTATTTCTTTTACACTTGGGTTTCTCTAAGAAATGCTTACCCTTGCCCATATCTACAAGAGTTTTACCTATTTTAGTTTCTAAAAGGTTCAGTTTGTGTTTCTAGATAGATCTATGTCTTTGATTCATCTTAATTTGCTTTTAGGATAGGATGAGAGAAATTAATCAAGACTTCTCTGCATATGGATGAATAAAAAAATCTACACAGAAAATTCAATACTATTCCTATACACCAGCAATGAATCCACTGAGAAAGAAATCAGGACAATTTCATTCATGGTAGCTTCAAAAATTTTGAATGTCTTGAAATTAGCCCAACTAAGGAAGTGAAAGATACCTGTAATGAAAACTATAAAACTAAAAGAGATTAAATAGGACATCAGAAAGTGAAAACTTATCCCTGTTGCTGAATAGACAGAATCATTACTGTTAGAATTGGAAAATTACCAATAATTATATGTAGGTTTAAAGACATTCCAATCAAAATACCACAACATTTTTCAAAGAATTACAAAAAAAGTCCTAAACTTTATGTGACCAGAATAACCAAAGAAATCCTGAGCAAAAGATCAAAGTAGGTGACTTAGTAGAGTAGAGTAATCCTGGATTTCAAGTTATACCACAAGGCTATAATAAGAAAGTAGCACAATAATGGCTTAAAAATAGACATTCTGACTGGAGGAATAGAACTGAAAATGAAGAAAAGCTCATGTAATTTCAGCCATCAAATTTTTGACAAAGAAGCAAAAAAATATATGCTGGAAACAAGTGACCATCCCTTTCAGAAACAAATGACACTAGCACTCCAGCTGTGTCCTAACTCCACAATGAGAAAAGAACTGGGAGGTGGCGTTTCCTACCAGCCCATAGAGTTGCCCTGCTGTAGTATGTGGTAGCACATGTACAAGTGGCAGCACTCAAGCACGGGTCCTTATGTCCTCCACTGTACCTAAGTATGATGGCCATGTCTCACTGACCATATTCATGGAGTTTGTCACATTCACATATTTTTTTGCAAGGCTGGAATTAGCATCACTTTTCCTGGGGTAACATGGAACCAAAACAGAACAGTTGGTCTTAGATGAGAGAAAACACCACAAATACTATGAATATTATGTGGGAAGGTGATAACTACATGGAGGCCCAGAGTGGTGGAAAATGTAGTGTCAATAGCAAGGGTGGATGGAGAACCCCTGTGACATAAGTAGTATAAAAACCATTTGAAAGAAAGAAATAGAAGCCTAGGGAGGTGAAATAGCAGTCTGTACAGGCATACATAGAGGAAGTGGGATTCACACCAGAACTTTTGGGCTCGGGAGATGGCTCAGTAGAATATGTGCTTCCCTGGCAAGGGCCTGAGTTCAATCCCTGGTGGAAAAAAAAAAAAAAAACAGAACTTTTAACCCTAAAATGATTGATTTTCCTGCTGTGTACTTATGTTTCCAGATGATCAAGTGCTTAAAACTCAGAATCTGCAAACTGAGTCTGACTCTGCCTCTGGAATAGACTGGTGATAAATGCATGATGCTGAGCAGTGAAAGCTGCTAATGCTGGCTTCAGTTCCAGATACAGAGAGTTCAGAGTGGTATCTTTTCATGTACAGGAAATGGTAGTAATGAATTACATTTCTCAGAGGCTATTCAACTGATTGTTAATGGTCTCCATGAAGTTGAATCATCTCTTGATCCACAGTAGAGGAAGCAGAGGCTAATAAATTTGAGAAGGTAATAAATTAGAGAAACTACCATTTGACCAGCTCTAATGGTCTTGGTCTCAACTGGGCAGTCTATGGTTGTTCGCTACCATAAAAAATTAAATTTATACATAGGAACCTGAGATTCCAGAGACCATTATGGATTATCCAAGGAATCTGTAGTTAACATTATTGTGGTCCAGCAAAAGAAGAAGTCAAACAGCAAAATAATGTTTTTGATGCCATGGTATTATTGAAAAGTATACATACCATAATGGTAGCTCCTTAATCCAGCTCTTGGGAGGCTTGGCATGAAGCCTCCTAAGAGCTGGATAACCAAGATTTGAGGCCAACTTGGGATAGATGGTGAGTTTAAGGCAGGCCTGATCTACAGAATGAGACCCTGTCTGAAAAAAGATACAAGCAAACAAACAAACAGCAAAAACAACAACAATGAAAAACCCCTAAATAAGTAGAACACGTGAGTCAAGCCAGCAGCTTGAGTTCTGCTCATGGCTGAGTACAAACGTGACCTGGGACATACTATTCCCTCAGTTGAAAGTTAGAGTTCTGTCCTGGGCCACGAAAGACACTCTTCCAAGATTTGAGACTTTGTTCTTTATCTTGCATCTATACTCCTACCACGAACAATGGGGTATAAAATAAAGGATTCACAGCACAGGGAACAAATAGCATTTGGTCAGTGTTTCTCATACATAATATGTAGGGAGAATCAGCCTGCATATGTTTCTAGCATAGTCCTTCTGCACAATAGAACAGATAATGAGGAATTGGTATTGGAGGAGTAATGACTCTTGCTTAAAAATCAAGACATTTAAAATCAAGAAGAATTGGGATAGATAGTCTAAAAAATAAGACTTCCTTTAATAAAAAGTATACATCCAAATAAAGGCAGACAGCTATAAAGCTTAGTCATATGAATTATGAATAGTTCAGAGCAGTTTTTGAAAAAAACAACAACTGTGCTTTGAGAAATTTAATTGACATGACTTCCCTTTGAGAAATAGGAGGTAGATTTTAAAAGCTTCCTGAACATGACAAATGAGACCATTGGGATTCAGAGGATTTATCTCTTAAGTCACCTAGGATTCTACTGCCAGTTAGAGATGTATTGGAACTTCCACAGGGAGCTTTAATTCCTCATCCAAGACTGTTTCTATAGACAATGATGTTCCTCAAAAAAGAACTTTATTTCTAGTCTACCACTTTTTTTCCATATTTAGTTTCTTTTGGGTTAAATTGAATTATATGTCTGCAAAGACATTCAAATTATTTACCTTTAAATAACTACTGAGAGCCTAAAGCCCTTTGTATAAATGAAACATCCTTCACTTATGTTTTACTATAATTTTATTAATGAGAATAGAAGAATCTTGATGAATAAAATACATATAGAAGTATGAACCTAAAATGTAGCAATGGCACATTTTACAAATCATCTTTATTTTCTTGCTTGCATTATTTGGGTCACTGATGAACAAGGTTATAAGCCTAGCTTCACGTTTCTTCTAGCATAGATTTTAATAATTATAATTAGAGGTAAAAAAGTGAATGTCTTAGGAAAAATGGACTGCCCTTTGTTTGCCACACTAATGATGACTCTGAATCTAAGCTTTCTCATTGCCATTTTTATTCCTCACATGCTTTTGTTCTTTACAAACCTTTATCGAACTCTGTCAGATTGAAAAGAAGGAGGTAAGACAGGCAGCCAATAAGGAGCAGGAAGCGTGAGCAGTGTGGGTGCTTCTGGGCTGTGGAGCAACAGTGTGCTGTGAGCTTTGGCATTTCTTTCTCTCTTCTCTATAAATTATACAAATATATTAGGTTGTGTGTTGACAATAACAAGATCACCTTCAACATAAGTTGGAATAGTACTGGGGTAAAAATCATTCTGATGGTCACTTTCTGGTCTCTTGATTATATATTCCAAGTTATCTGAATTCCATGAGACTAATTATTTGATCCTTAAAAATCATTATTAAGACTGGGAATATAGTTCAGTACCAAGGTGCATACTGAGCAGCTGCAAAGCCCTGGACACTATCTCGAGAAAAAAGTCCTGAAAAGGTGATTGTACAGATGAACATTGTAATCCAAGTATGTTATTTAGCCCAAACCCTAACAAAAACAGTAAAAATGGCAATGATAACACCTAATATTTAGAGATTTTTATAATATCTAGTTGTATAGTAATATTTCTCACTCCTCTTAGTGGGACTGGAAAGCAATTATTATTATTATTAATTATTTTGTCTAAAGATGTTTTAAAACAGTGTTTCATGAAAATTACCTAGCTTCTCACATATCATTTATTCATTAATTATTGCTGCAAGTTGGAACCTCGTCTCCAAAACATGTGGTCTTACCTCCTATATTTGTGCTTTCTTGGCCAAAGCCTAGCATTGCTTTATTCCTGGAAAATATCTTCTTCACTCATGCTAGTCCTGAAGAGCAGGTGCCCTGACTTTCCTGGTCCTCACACTGGCATCAGTACTTAAAATATAGCCAGACGCATAATGAGGACTTCATCTCTTATTGGAAAAGGTTGAAGAGATAAGGGAAGATCAAAAGGCAAGAAATAAGGAATATTTTAAAGCCATGTATGACATGTTAAGCTGTTATTTGATCAGAAGATCTCAAGCAATTTCTACACAAAGGACAGAAAGAGGAAGAGTAATGATGATGTATGAATACTTTGGGCAGAAATCCTTGAATATAGTACTAATTAGAAAATGAAATGGAACAACTGGGATGAGGAAAAGAACAAAAGAAAGAAAAAAAGAACAAAAGAGAGAAGAAAGAAAGAAAGAAAGAAAGAAAGAAAGAAAGAAAGAAAGAAAGAAAGAAAGAAAGAAGAGAAAAAAGGGAAAGAAAGGAAGGGAGAAGGGGAAAAACATATATACATATACAGGGTAGCTTGGATAATTGCATTGCTGATTTCTGATGATCTGCTGAAAGCATCAGTTAATGCTTAATATATTTTTCTTCTCTTTTTTATTTTCTTATAATGTTTTGAACAACTTTTAATGCTTATGTCAGGTAATCTAAACAAATATGAAGACAACAGTATGCAATATAACACCTACTGTTGAATTCCCATTATTTTGTTTAGTGAAATTCTATATTGTTTCTAATGATTTTGGTTTTACTGTTTTTCTTTTTTTCTTTTTTTTTTTTTGCAGAACCAAGGATTGAACTCAGGCCCTTGTGCTTGCCAGGCAACTATTTTTTATCCTCTTAAAAATACTATGAAGTATTTGCTTAAAATATATTACCTGGGGTAGCCAAGTAACTCAGTAGTCTAAAGCGCTTGATTAGGCAGAGCACAGGGGCCAGGGTTCTTTCCCCTGCTTGCCTTGCCAGCCCTGACCCCCAGGGTGTGTTGAGAAAGATTAGGACTGGGCATGATGGCCCACACCTATAATCCCAGTGCTTGGGAGGCTGAAGACAGGAGAATCACTATGAGTCTGGTCTATGTAGTGCAACCCTGTAGACTCTGTACTAAATTTTATATATATCTCCTTAATTGTGTAGTTATCTTAGAATACTTTGTTTATAATCTGAAATTTTATCTTTATATTTGTATGTGCATAAAATATAAAACACCAAAGTATTTCGACTAACTTATTTAAAAAAAAAAAAACAAAACAAAACAGACCTAGTGAACAAACCTGTAATCCCAATACTCTGAGAGGCTCAGGCAAGATGATCACAAGTTTACAGCCAGCCTAAGCAATTTGAAAACCCTGGCCCAAAATTTGAAATTTAAGATAAAACATAGAAAACACTAGAGATATTGCTCAGTGTGTGAGAAAGGCTTGAGTTCACAATCCCATTGTGCACGTGCATGTGCATACATACATAAAAATACTTAATAAATTTAATTTTTGTAACATAGCAGTAGATACATCACTTTATCATACTTTTCAACAATTGACATTTCACTCAACAAATCATTTTATCTTGTTCTATTTTAAAACTTTTTCTTTTCTTTTTTCATTCACTTAATTACTTCTAGTATTAATGTAAAAGATGCTAAAGAAAGTACTACAAACATGACATGACATTTAACATTATGTATTATATTTATTACTGAATTAATTATCACCTTTCTCCTGCATTATGGATTCCAAGAACCTGTAAGGGAACAAAAATTTCAGAGTTACAGCTGCCCAAGTTGAAGATCAGTGAACTTGACTAAAAGGGTACAGGAGCTAGAGGACAAAGGGACAAAAAATGGGCTTTTGTGTGTGACAGTCTTTTCTCATGCCATTAAAACTTAGTTTTTTATATTTGTTCATCCATCAAAAACAGCAATGTTAGCTTAGCAGCTTCCATCTGGAAATGTGATTTCCAGCTGCCTTTTCTTGACAAACTTTCATCACAGCAAACATCCAGATGCCCCAAAGGTTTAGATGTAGTGGGACATGATCTATATCAATTTTTCATGATGCATTCCATATTGAATATGTAATATTTGCCTCTCAAAAACCATTGGGATGTTCTCTGCTTTATCTAGCTCCCTTGGGCTTTACAGTTTTGAGACAATTATGGCAGAAATTGCTCACTGTGTTTTCATTATCATGAATTTACATTGTTTTAAAGATTGCCAAATTAAAGTGCAACCAATAAGCATCAAGTTAAAATCTAGTTTAATATTTTAAGTCCCCCAAATTGTAACTATTAAACTGCAATTCTGCTTTTCAGTTTTAAGCCACATACAATATCAACATGAGATTACTCTATACATTTAAACAAAATGAAGAGTTGGGAAAATAGTACGGCGGTCTAAGATCCTGCCTGACGAGTGTGAGGACCTGGGTTTGATCTCCAGTACTACATCCTATGCTGCTCCAGAGCCTCAGGCACACTGTGCAGGCCACGGAAACCTGCACACACCTGTAATGTCAGCACTAGGAAGAGTGAGACAGAAGGATCACTATGAGTCTAAGCTGCATAATGAGACCCTGTACCAAATAAATAAATAAATGATTTTCTAAATTAAAAAAGGAACACACCTCATCTTGATTAATTGAGGAAAAACAGAAGTTAGTAGTCTATATTTCTATTCAAATTGATATTTTATTTTTCAACAGATTTTCCTAGCTGGATGCTGGGTGTCCAACAGTAAATAGAAAAATAAATTCTGCCCATACTGAGTCATATTAATATGACAGCATACATTGTGTAAGCATTTATAAAAACACATATTTTATATGTTACATGTGAGTGTACACATGTGTGCCTGCTGCCCATGTTTTATGTGTTATGTGTATGTGTGCTCAGTGTACATGAAAGAATTCTGCACTTACAAGTTCACACATTCTTTTTGATTCACACATTCCTTTGTAGGGACATTTCATTTAAGAAAGCCACCACATAAACCGGAGCCTCTGGCCGGGCCGCGTGAGGGAGGAGGGTTCGTCATGTCTAGTAGCATATAAGAAGACCCCACCACCGGTCCCTCCGCGTACCACATCAAAGCCGTTCATCTCAGTCACAGTCCAGAGCAGTACTGAGTCTGCTCAGGACACCTACCTGGACAGCCAGGATCACAAGAGCGAGGTGACAAGCCAGTCAGGCCTGAGCAACTCGTCGGACAGCCTGGACAGCAGTACCCGACCACCTAGTGTGAC